AAAAAAGTTCAGACATGAACAAGGTTTAAACTCTTATTTAAGCTTTATAGCAGGTTTACAAATATCTTTATGCCCCTGTTAATAGCTGTCCTTGACTATTGGAGGGTTGGGTCATTGGCTGAAGCTCCATATCCCCTGTGCCAGGCTCATGTCTGCATATGGCACTGTGGAAGGGCCAAGCTGTGGCTGGAACTGAGATGGTCTGGATAAGGCTCATCTTTCAGAAAGTAAGCTTGACTGCAGGCACCAACATAATGTCTAGACCCCAAATCTCAGCATTGTTACTGTCTGCTGACAGCATTGCAGTAAAAAAAAAGATCAGTTCCATACAAAGATGATTAGTTGAGAACCAGCTATTGACAGCACCTATAGACTATTTCAATGCCAGCCGTAGCCCTTAACCTAAGGAATTTACTGCTTCTGAATTCTGGAGGTTGCATAGTTTTAGTAAACGGAGTTAGTAGAGAGAAAAGTACAGACGATGGGTCACTGGAGGAGGAAGGGGAGAGAAGGATTAGGGAACAGATGACCAGGAAGCCCAGATCTGCTACTGGGGGGAGGCTGCAGGCATCCATTGTAATTTTGAGAATTTTCCTAAAGCGGAAGATTGAGAATCCAAAGTAGGGAAGGAAGCAAAAATGATGCACGAGTACAAGTACATTTCTAGTAAAATAGTATAAATATGTTTGCAATTCAGTCCATTTCTAGGTTTTTAATCTGGTTATCCTCTGGGATAGAGCTGGACCATGGTGACCATGAAAGTTTGGTCTCAAGTCTCTGACGGGTGGGAGCCCCAGCCAAAAAGCCTCAAACCGATACCCAAGGCTTCTGATTCCTTTGAGTGGCTTTTGGGATAGAGCCACAACAGGAGATTTTATCATATAAAAAGATCTTTCGATTTTGTTATTATTTATTTCTAAATAGCCTTGGAAACCCAAGAGTAAAGATCATAAGCATTAACAAAATGCCAGGGAAAAGTAAAAAGAAACATAAAATTCAAACACTTACCAAGCATCTACTGTGCCAGGTACCATGTGCAACATGATTCACTCCTTATAATTATGTATGTGGCATGTATGAGGTATGTTTTATTATCCCCATTTTATAGATTAGTCATTAATTAGGACAGCAGCCAAAATGGAAAGCACAGCTAAACAGGTTGAGAGCTGAACTGTCAAAACATGACACGGTGGTTAATGGCAGGTTATTGATGGATATTACCTCGCTGATGGGTCTTCAATAAACTATTTTTTTGGCGAGGTCTTCGATAAACTTTGCATCGACTTTGGCTCAGAAAAAAGTCTTTCGTGAAAACAAATTTATCTGAAATAAACATCACGATATTGTTTTAAATCTCATGTATAAAAATTCAAATACAGAGTACACATATAATTTCCCCCTTCTTTTTAGGTCTCTTTGATTTTAAAACTGCTGTAACAATCACAGTCAATTTTAAAGTGTTGATGATAACAATACCGTCCTGAATTTTTATAGAGACTTTTTCTTGCAAGGACCTTGAAGTGCTAAAAATGTTGTCATCCATATAGGCAAACCTCGGGAATATCTAATTTAGCAAAAGTCAGTGATAAATTCTTCTGGTGCCATTCTCCATGTCTTTGAATATAGTAGAACACCCTGGAAATAAGAATGTTTATTCTCCAGCAACTGACTGCTGGTAATACGGTTAGTTGGTATAATTCCACTTGTATTTATCTTTTAAATAGCTGTTGGGATTAAAAGAATCCTTTCTGTTTTCTTCCTATTTCTAAAGTGGTAGGTATTACGCACATTTTAGTGCCTTCTCCAGGTGGGCAAAGGAAACACTGTCTTTAGCTAACTTCATCTTTATGCTGCTGAGCACCCTTTCACAAACAAAACGTGAATTAGAATAAAAATTGGAATCTTAAAGGCTGAAACACACAGTTCCTGCACAAAGGAAAGCAGCAGAAACCGTGAGGTCACGTCCATGAGTGAAGGATGCCAGGAGCAGATACGGGCCTCCCTGGGCTCTGCGGAGCCCACTCACCCATTAATTGCCCAGCCTGGTCAGAAACTCCTGGGAGGAGACTGAGGATGTCCCATTGTTTTTTTTTTTACAGATTACAAAGTCATTCTGTTTCACTGGATGATTGTGAACAGTTCAGTCTGTGCGTTTTATTTTGATTTTCAATGACTTAATTAACGACACTGAACTTTGTCCACAATAGCAGCATTATGTTTAAGAGTCAATCAAATGCCAGACAGTGTCATTAAGTGGAACGGCACAGATGGCAGGGTCTGTGGGAGCTGGAGAGCGGCTGTGAGGTGGCCCGGGCTACTCAGGGACGTGGTCAGGGCCTGACCTCGGATCCCCTTCCCCATGCCCTCTGCTGCAGGTTGCTGATGGCCAGTTCCTCACTCTTCCCTACATAAGTGCCGTCATGTCCCTGGGCCTTCTTCCCGCCCCTCCCACTGATCTAAAGCCTCCCTATCCTTTAAGTTCCAACTTAGATCACTTCCCTCACAAAACCGTCTCCTATTCCCTGCTCGTTGCTAGCCCCTGGTGGTGACAAGAACCCCAATTGTACTTTGGAAATAACTCTTTGTTTCTGTATCTGAGGGTAGATCTGTTAAGCCTCAACCCAGGCAGGACCTAAAGGTAGAGACATGTCTGGATTACATTTGAGGATGAGGCCTAATTGCCAAGGTCCTGGGGAGCCTGAGGAGAGAGGGGGAGGGGCTCATCTCCAGGAAGCTGGCTAGGCTCTACCTTGAGGGGCAGGGTGGGGGGGTGCTGGGAGGCCGGTGGGCCCCCAGACCATGGAGACAATGGCAAATGTGCTCAGTATGTGTGACTGACTGCACAGCAACCTTGGGCTGAGTGATGTCCCACGCCCGCGGTGATCTTCTCCTTGGCTCCTCTATTCCTAATTCCCAAAGGGAGGACCTGCTTGCACTGTGTTAAGGCTTCTGATCCGGGGTGTCTTTTCCAGGTGGAGCTTGGACCCATCAGGAGAGTCATGGCTGAAAGGCATGGAAGAGTGGGGATCTGGTCCTGTAAAATTCCAGAGAATTGGGATACCTGTTTAATTTAGTATTCAAACTGGGACACTTTGGATGTTAATGATTATGCTGGGACCAGAGGTGTAAACCTGGACTGTCCTGGGCAAATTAGGTGGGTGACACCCTGACCCAGAAGCCACCTAGCATGATGACCGTTCACAGCCTCTCTCTGGCTCCTCTGTACTGGGTCAGCACAGGTTTAGATGTCACACTGTGCAGAGGAAGAAATGAAGAGAAAGGAACTTGCAAGAGGGTCCTAGAATGGTTGATGGATGCAGATGCAGCCATGAGCTCACACCCATGTCCCAGCTGAGTGATGAGGATCCCATCGGTGACACCTCGAAGCTCTCCTTCAAAGGAGCCTGTTTCAGTGCAGGGAACTCTACTCAATACTCTGTAATGGCCTATATGGGAAAGAATCTAAAAAAAAAAAAAAAAAGAGTGGATATATGTATATGTATAACTGATTCACTTTGCTGTACACCTGAAACGGATACAACATTGTAACTTAACTATACTCCAATAAAAATTAAAAAAAAATAAAGGTGGGGGGTCTGTTTCCTGGAGGTGCCTGGGCAATGCTGCCTGTCTTGGAGCTCGAGCCAAGGGCACCTTCAAAGACACTGTCCCAAGACAAGGACTCAGAGCTCCTTGGAGCCCTGCTGATTTGTGGACCTGAAGACCTAAACTCATAAATGCGACAGAGGGTCTCTTCCGCTGTCCACTTGCTCGGCCCACAGAATTGTTCTCTGGTCTAAAAGCAGGGTGCTGTCTCTTCTCCTGGGGGGTGGGGGCGGGGTTCCCCATGCTGTTGCCCTGTTTCCCACTGAATTCCAACAACGTGTAGGGCCTTCACGTCATCAGAGTCATTTTCCAAATGAGCAAATTGTGTTTTCTTCTTCGTTGAACCTGATATTTGAGCCAATCTGTGCAGGCAGTTTCCTCCTCTTTGTTTTCCTGACCCTGAGCACTCCTGGCCCCACCGTAATTATTGGACTGCGCCCGCTCCTGGGAGCACAGCTCCTGTTCAACAGCAGTAACGATTTCGCTGAACATGAAAAGAAAAAGGCCCCAATTCTGGGATTTTGTCTCCCTTTCAGATGTTGGTTATTTACAAAAAGTCTTCATTTCAGTGTTGAGTTAGCATTTCTGGCATTGCTTAGGAAGCCACAGCCTGAGCCGTGTCCTCTGCTCTACCCCCAGAAGAGAGCCAGATGGCTACCCATGGGTGTGTGTGGGGACAGCAGCCCTCACTGCATGCATTTACGTGGAGACAACGTGAAGTCACTGTCCGGTGGCTGGGGAGGAAACAGAGGAATTCCGTCTTGGAAAGCCCATCTCTTTCTGTGAGAAAGGGAAGGATGTGGTGGAGTAGAAAGGGCCCAGGACTAAGAAAGAATCTCCTGCCCTGTTAATCCCACCTTTTGCTCAGGGCCAAATATCTATCTTTTCAGCAGCCTTTCTGTTTTCTATCCATCCATCTGTCCATCTGTCATCTCTCTCTTTTCCACCAAGCCCAAAACATTTATTAAGCACTTAGGCTATTAGTGGTTGTTTCGGGCTGAATTGTGTCCTCCATACAACTCATAGGTTGACATCTTAAACCCCTGTAGCTCAGAATCTGACTGTATTTGAAGATAGGGCCTTTAAAGAGGTAATTAAGGTAAAATGAGGTCATATGGTGGACTTTAATCCAATCTAACTGGGGTCCTTATAAGAAGAGGAGATTAGGACAGAGACACACACAGAGGGAGAAGCACGTGAAGACACAGCAGGAAGATGGCCACCTACAAGCCAAGGAGAGAGGCCTCAGAATGAAATCAAACCAAGTCAAACACCTTGATCTTGGACTTCCAGCCTCCAGAACTGTGAAAAAATAAACTTCTGTTGTTTAAGCTCCCCAGTCTGTGGTATTTTGTTCTGACAGCCCTAGCTGACTGTTACTGTGTCACTTCCAGGTAATGGGGACCCAGTGATGAATAGAGATTCTTCAAGCTGCTCAGAGCCTAGCAGGGGACCTCGAACCCTAAAGAAGCACAGGCGGAAGGAGGTAGGTGGGCAACGCCCTGGCTTGCCCTTCCTTTGCATCATCCATCAAACAACACATAGGGGAAAGAAGCGTCTTGTGTGAGCCATCGGAGTGGTGGCTGCGGGATGGATCCTAGCAGGACAGTGTGGCCAATGACAGAACCACTATCCTGGTGGCTTCACAAGACAGAGTAGAGGAACGTAAGATGGGACATTCCCAAGGACATGCTTAGGGGGCTAAGTTAATGAAGCAAAGTTGATTATGGTTGTGTGACCCTAGTTTGTACTCATCGTTGCATGAAGCTGGGGCACATTGGATATATGAACACTGGTCCACATTTTTGACATTAATCACCAAGTGTTTATTAAGCAAAGAGCCTTATGCTTTGAATGGGCTGATTCTGCTGTGGGAGACAGAGGAGGAAGAAACTGAAAAGACCTGGTCCTGCCCTTGAGGACACTACCAGTCATGAGAGAGGAGACTCATCCATGAGAGGATGGGAAGAATGTTCTGGACAATGTGCAAATGCCCAAGTAAGCAGTTCAGACCATGGCCACTCTATGAGGTCAGAGCCGAGGAAGATCAATGTGGGCTAGCACAGTTCATTTAAGTAGCAATTAGTTATAATTAATCAATTATGTGATTGAGTAGCACTTAATTATTTACTGCCTTGTTTGGTTTTCCAACTGCTCACAAGCGTCAGCTTTGTTTCCCCAGCCGGAGCCGAGCTCCCCGAGAACTGGGACAGGCTCCTTCGTTGGTATCAGATGGGGCCAGGGTCAGATTCTCACATCTAAGGACAGTGTTCTGAGGAAACAGAAAGCATGAGACCATAACTTTGAGGTCAAAACTTCAAGATTATGCCAAGAAATGACTGTCGAGTGAGTCAGCCTTCAAAACAAACACAGAACAGTGAGGAGTAGATGCAGCTGAGGTGGACGTGTGGTTCTTCAGCTGCACTTGGGCAGAAGGAGTGCCCCGGGAGGACAGGCCCTTCCAGAATGAATGGTGACAAGTAACGCTCCTGATAAGTCTCTGGCGTCTGAGGGGTGTTCTCACAGCTTCTCTGGCATGAGGACGTGCATCCCGTTGATGCTTCCTGAAGGGTCCCAGGCTGACCCTCTGAGCTGATACCCAGCAGGTCCCTCTGGTGCTCTGAGAGTTAGCACCAGGGGCTGGAGAAGGGTCATGCAAGCTCAGAGAGAGGACTTGAGCTGATTTCATCTCACAGGTTTTTGGTGCTCTAACTATGTTATTCTTTGGGAGCTGCTTCTTGGAAGCCAGATAGAAAATCAAGAGTAATGCAATGAATGGCTTCTTGAAAATAAGTGTAGGGTGTCCCAGGAATTCGGGCTTATGGGAGGCGCTGCTAGCCCCAGCTATATGGCAGCCAAATGAGTCTGAAGCTCCTTAAAGGACAGATTCCTACAGTTAATGCTTAATGGGATCCTGAGCTCTGTGGGGGAGTCCAAAGAGGGTGACCTCCTAAATTCCAGGTTTCCCTGGCTGGCTCAGGTCTGGCTCATTTGCAGACAAAGATGGTGCCTCCTCTCCCTCCACGAGGTCAGTGGGTGTTATTACCTGTATTCACAAATGGGGCAGAACACCCTGAGGCTTGCAGACTGATTACTTTCATTAACTTTAATTGGATTCTTTCGCACTTGGAAAGAGAAGTGTAACCAGGGTTCAACTGGAAGAGCATCTCAGGCCCAGGGTGATGCAGGATTGTAAACATTAAAAGTGCTACAGCTGCATTGGTAGGGAATGTTGAAGTCACTTATGCTGTTTGTAAGAATAGCTCACAGACCTGAGGATGTTAGGAAGCTCTGGGCATGTCAAATTCAGGGATTATTTTTGTGCTTGTCTAGAAAAAAAGAAATGTTAAATCAGAGGTGTGCAAGTGAAATTATAGAAGAGACCAAACACATTCCAACTGTGCCATGTGCCAAAAGAAATCCACAGACGCTAGGAGACCTTCAGTGTAGGTCCAGTTTCTGAGCAGGCCTGGGGCAGCCTATGAACTCTCTAAGGTTGGATTCAACCTTGCTAACCCTTCTCTCAGCTCTGTTGCTCTATGACTATTATGTCCTCTGTGTGGGATATTCCTGTCACTTTCTACATGACAAATTCTCACCCAACCTTTCAGTTCCGGCTCTTATGTCACAGTCCTGAAGTCTTGGCCAACAGCTCTACAGGATTTAGTTCCTCTGTGCTCTGTGCCTCCACAGAACTTTGTTCATATAAGGAACACTCAGCAACCCAGAGAACAGATAGAGAGCAAGGGAGGGAGAAAGGAGCAGAGAGAACACAGATTCAGGATTCCAAAACTGGTTAAAACACAATTAGTTGGGGGGAAGATTATCTTTTTTTAATTGCAACATAGTTGATTTACAATACTGTGTTAGTTTCTGGCGTACAGCAAAGTGATTCAGTTATATATATATATATTTTTTCAGATTATTTTCCATTATAGGTTATTATGAGATATTGAATATATTTCCCTGTGCTCTACAGTGGGTCCTTTCTGCTTATCTATTTTATGTATGATAGCTTTTAATCTGTTAATCCCATACTCCTAATTTATCCCTCCCACCCTCCCTTTCTCTTTTGGTAGCCATAAGTTTGTTTTCTATGTATGTGAGTCTGTTTCTGTTTTGTATATATATTCATTTGTATCATTTTTAAAGATTCCACATATAAGTGATATCATATAATATTTGTCTTTCTCTGTGTGACTTCCTTCACTTAGTATGGTAATCTGTAGGTCCATCCATGTTGTTGCAAATGGCAATATTTCATTCTTTTTTATGACTGATATTCCATTGTGTGTGTATATATATATATATATGTGTGTATATATACCACATCTTCTTAAACCAATCATGTGTTGATGGGCACTCAGGTTGTTTGCATGTTGAGATGATCTTTTTAAGAAGCTAACTGGGACCTTGGTGTTTAATATGCATCTGTTGAACATGAGAATACATAGCTTGATTGGTAGCCCTAGGACTTGCCCACCTCTCCATCAGCACCGTGTCACTTAACATCCACTGCTGGCCTTATGGAGGTGGGTGCTGGAGAGGTCAGGCCAACGTTTGGCTAGCAGCCTGCCCTGAGAGAGCCCAGAGAACCACAGAATGGGTTAGTGCCTGAGTTCCCACCTTTAGCCCTTTGGGCCTTGTCCTGAGCACTGAGAGGGCATCAGCAGCATTTGCCCACCACACCCTGTCTGCCATTCTGTATTCGTTTCTGGACTTTCCTTTTTCAGGACCTGCATCCAGGTTCCTTCCTCACTCTGGGGTGACAATAACTCTCTCCTCCTGGGGTTTCTTAAGTGTCAGAAGTGCTAACGGTGGCATTGCTGAGCCCCACGAGGAGGTGATAGGGGCCACTAAATCATTTCACGCGTTATCTCGTTACTGCCTCCTGGTTCAGGAGGTGCTGAGCCTCCTGCACACCCTGGATTAGATTTTCAAAGAAACGTCTCCAGCACGTGCTCCCACTTAGCCCTCCAGGAGCCTGCTTTCATCTCCTTGCTCTCCGGCCGGCTCCCCCACTGACCTGGGGATGGCTAGGTGGATGCAAGAGGGCTTGACATTCACCTTCCCTGGCGGTGATGAGCTTTGCTTCTGGAGGCCAGCGTTCCTTAAGGGTGAATTGCCCACACAGGTCACTGGTGAGGAAGGCATTTCCCCCTAAAGATCTAAAGATCGTTCTTTGATTTTAAAAATAGCCTTTTCTAATTCACATGAAGAAATAAAACATCCTCTCAGAAATTTTATAAAGGGAGTTAACTGTTTCATCAGGACTCAGAACGGCCACTCAGAGAGCAGATCCTAGATAAGAAGCGAGGTCTGGCTCGCTGGGCTGCGGGGAGAGTTGGCACCTGCTGCCCAGCCAGGTCCTGTGGGCACAGAGGCTGGCTCTCTTTGGCCCATTTCAGACTCGTAGGTGAGGAACACTGGCAAATACCACAGTGGGTACCGGCATCCAGGCCTGGTTCCTGGGCCTAATCTAGGACATCACAGCTGGGGATGGAGGACTTGGAACGAGGTCATTTAGTCCGCACTGTTCAAAAGGAAGACCAGGAGCCACACGTGGCTACTGAGCACATGACATGTGACTGGTCCAAACGGAGACTCGCTATGTGTAAGACATACAGAGCAGATTTCAAAGCCTTAGTCCAAAGAAAGAATGGGTGACGTCTGTTGAATAATATTTTATGTTGATTACATGTTGAGATGATCATATTTTGAATATATTGGGTTAAAGAAGACATCCTATTGAAATTACTTTCCCTGTTTCATTTTTCATTTTACTTTTTTTAAGTGTGGCTACTAAAAATTTTAAATTATATGTGGCTTGCATTCTTTTCCTATTGGTCAGTACTGGTCTATGTCCTCTAAGAACAGTGAGGGTGAGGGTACTTGGGATGGCCTTGAGCTGGCATCAAATGTGAGAAACTGGATGGGGCCAGAGACCTTGAAGACATGGTGCATATTTTGGGGAGATAAATATCTTTTGGTAACTTGTCCTAAAAACAACTGAGGTGAGGTTTCCCTTGGAATATCAATCCCCTTTTCAGATCTCAGGCTAGTATAATATGAAGCAGACATTTTCAGACAGAATTGGAACTTCTTTAGACCCTGTTCTGGGAGAGAACCAAGTTGAGTTGATCTTCCTTATTTTGACTACAGTTGCCAAGGTGAGTTTCCCAGGTTGAGATAATCCATTCACAAAAATTCCCAAACCAATTCTTCAACTCTAGCTGGATAATAACCACAAAATGATTAATTGAGGACATGCACACTATGAAATAAGAACTCAGTAGAGTCTACAAGCCAGTTAACCTAAACTTGATCACATAGAAGTAAATCTATTCACTGTACATTTTTGGGTCTGATTTAGCTTCCAGTTTCTTTTTGGGGTGGAATCGATGAATCTCTTGGAAACATCTGACTACGGCAGATCTCTCCCTCACGGCTCCCCCTTGTTCTTTATCTTTTATGGCCATGGTTTTACTTCTGTATCATGAACACATCTTCTACTGTGTTCCATGTGTTCCATGCTCT